GTGTCTGGGCCTTCTCCTGGTACGAAATGCCTGAAAGACCTCAACTAGGAAGTGCACGAGGATGTCTGGAGGAGAGTCTGGCCACCCTTTAGAGGAAGCTTATTTCTGCCACAGTCTCCCTTCTTTTAGTTACTACCCACAACTCACGACCATAGCTGAGGGTAGACTCATCAATTGAGCGTTGCTTTTGCACTCAGCCCTCCCTTTACCACAGCAGAAAGTTTCCACTCGATACTCTGAACCAGTCCATCCTTCAATCTTCAGCTCTCTCCTTCCTTCACTTGTGAAGTTCCCGAAAAAGTTCCCGAAATACTTAGAACTTCTCCACTTGGGGCAACAACTCACTCCGAACCCAGAGTGCGCCCTCCGCCCTCGTCTGACTGAGAACCATGACCTCAGACTTGCTAATTCTAATCCCAAACAGCGAGTGTGAGTCACAGATCATTGTTTGTTGAAACCAGCACGACCGCACCATCAGACACGAGCAGAAACGTGATCCTGTGGCCAATGAAGCTTACACCCTTTACCCATTGGCTGCACTTGGAAACCATATCCATAAAAGTTATGAGCAGAATTACTTGGTCTTTGGTGACAAAGAACAGCCCTGCAGAAGCGCACCAGGTAAATTAAAAAATTAAGGTTGGAAAATTCCTTTTGCCAAAGGGAGCCTCGAACCAGCTGCTGGATGGTTCAAATTATGGGAGTGTGACACATCAAAGACTGTGCTTAACAGTGAGGAAGCTAATGAGAGGGGGAAACAGATCACTTTCATGTGTGGAGGAAACCACAAGTACAGACGTCCCACCACCTAAAGAGAAGAGAAAAGACGACCACTCTTATGGTTTCTGTTGGACCGGATATGCCAACAGTCCTCAGCCTCATCTTTTGGTAGAAGTTAGCTTATGCTAGCATTGTGCCAAGAAAGCTAAACTACACACACGAGCAGCTACTAGCCTGTGTGTGTCTTACAAAATGCATATTTGTTAGTGGAGTGGTGGCACATTTGCAAAACAAATTATAGGTCCAGATGTTACAAATGTGCAGTGAAAGGGCCTTCATCTGACTTCAGACTCCAAATAAAATTGGCATAGAGGCTTTTTTGGATGGATATGAATACAGGTGTGCCCTGAAAGGGCAGGTCATTGTTCTTTCTATGCCTATACTCGGTGAATATAACGCTATTTAAAAATGTTCATACCCAAGGGCTCACATTTGTGCACAAACACATTACAGTTGAATGCCCAGCTAAAAAAGTGATGCAACAAATGGCTTAAATGCACACGGTTTTCATGTTTTATGCTTAAAATGTAGTGACTTTGGTGCTTGGGTATTGATGCTTGAGTAGTCGTGTTTGTGCCTCATCTTGGAGGCTCAGTTGTGGCGTGAGTGTGCGATCAGGAGTGTTTGTGAGCTTCAGATGTGACAGGTTGGAGCTCTGCCACTGTACGAGCTGCAGATAAGAGCTGCGTTCACCAGCATCGCCTGTGATTGTCATCTGTGGCGCCAGTGTGTGTTCAACAGCACTTTCTCCTTTCATTTCTTATCCTGCCTGCCTCTGTGTGTGAGAGAGAGAGTGTGTGTGCGTTACAATGACTTATGATGCTGCTCTCTTGGGCTCAGCTGGCTGCTTTTAATGGAAAATCAGCACATTAGACACACACATCTCTCTCTCTGTCTCTCAATTGGTCTTGGTATTTCACATATTTCAGCTGTGTGGTCATCACTTTAACACACACACTCAATGTACTTATGTCTTTGCGAGGACTCTCACTGTATTCAAGGGCTTCTTATCTTAACCATTGCAATCTAAAGCTGAATCTAATCTAGCCTCCCAGGCTGAAAAATGAAGCCAATGAGACAAAAACTGCAGTTCCTCTGACGGCCACTCGCTCCACAAGTCTGTGCCCACAGACTCTTGGGTTGAAATTCCCATTTTTACAGCAGGAGTAAACATGTTTACAACCTCCTTTTGGTGCCTTTGAAGTATTTTTAGACTCAATTTTCCAAAATATTTCCCCTAAATTTCCACATTTTAACAAAAATGTCCTACTTTCGTAAAAACAACACATTCTGAAATGATAATTTTCTAAAAATGTACTCTTGAAAAATATGCTAACTTCACTAAAAGCTGCCACTTTTCCAAAATTTCTACAATTGCATAAAATGTCCAACAAAATTTTCCCCAAAAAATCTTTGCTCGGCATTGATTCACTTTCCCAAAATATCTCCACTTCCAAAACGTGCCCATGTGATAGAAAAGTCTACTACTTCTCTAAAAAGGACACATTTTAAAAGCTAAATACATTCAAAAACATCCCCACTTTTCTAAATTTTTGCAAAATGTGTAACCAAATTGTCTTACACAAAGGATGAATTCCAAAATGCCGTCACTTTCAGAAAACTATCACTTTTTTCTAATGTCCCACTAAATATGAGGATCCATCCATCCAATCTCTTCCACTTATCCTTTTCAGGGTCACGGGGGGGCTGGAGCCTATCCCAGCTTTCACAGGGTGAGAGGCGGGGTACCACCAATCACACCCACATTCACACCTGTGGGCAATTTAGAGTCATCAATGAACCTAACCCCACTAACTACTAGATATGAGGATATTTTAGGAAAATACCAACATTTTTTGAAAATGTATCTTTTCCAAAAAATAAGGTTTTCTTTTTTAAAAAATTCCTGTATTAGTCCAAATATCTTCAATTTCCTGAAATGCACTTGTTTTAAAAGCGCTTCTAACGTTCAATAAATGTCCATTTTCTGTTTTACAAAGCAAAATTCTTCTTTTTTTACAGAAAATGCTCCACAACCCCAGTTTTTTGAGGGGACGCTTGTAATGGCCTCATTGTGAACTAAATGTCCTCAATTTTTGGTAATTTCTTTTGATAATTTTCTCTTTCCAAATGGAACTTTACTTTCCACAAAATGTCCTCACGAGCTCTGAAATTCAATTCAGGCCTCACAAAGACACAAAAGTGCTCGCACTTATGAATGAGGCCGTTCTTGCAGCTCTGCAGAAAAGATCATTTTAATATCAGTGCTTTATTAATTACAGCCCTGTCTCTGCTTCCGCGTGTGCGTGTGTGTGTGTATGT